CAGGGACACCATTCCTACCCCCTGGCTAATAGCACTCCATGGACCCAACCTCCATGACTTGATCTCACTTCCCTTTAAACTCTGTTCTACTTGTAGCCTTCACAGCCTCCTGCAGCCAGGAGTTCCACAGGTTGACTCTTTGCTTTGTGAAGAACAACTTTCTGTTACTAGTTTGAAGCCTGCTACCCATTCCTTTCCTTTGGTGTCCTCTAGTCCTTCTTTATGGGAACTAATGAAGAACTTTTCTGTATACACCCTCTCTACCCAACTCTTGCTTTTAGAGACCTCTATCCTGTCCCCCCTCCGTCTCCTCTTTTCTAAGCTGAAAAGTCCCAGTCTCTTTAGCCTCTCTTCATATGGGACCTGTTCCCAACCCCTGATCATTGTAGTTGCCCTCCCCTCTCCCACCCTCTCTCTTCCCCTCTCCCACCTCCTTTTCCCAGTCTCCCCCAGTTTTGTTCAATAAAGACAGATTCCATTCTTGAACACAATTGTCCTTTATTTTGTACATCAAGAAAAGGGGCTAGGGAAGGGTAAGTGGAAGGAGGTGAGGGAGGAATGGGGCACGAGCCCCCGATGGGGAGGACTGGACTGGCTCTGCGGGCTTTTGGGGTGGAACCAATTGCCCCTCCTCCGCAGATGGCAGCCTGCGGCAAGTGCAGCCGGTCTGATGGCCGAGTGCTGTGATGTGCCCAGTGTGGGTAGTCCGGGCAATCCAAGCCAGGACTGCTTTGCAAGCAGGGCACCCCTGAGAACTGTCTGTCCGGGGTGGGGGTCGGGACCCTTTAAGCACAGCCCTCGGCTAGCCTGAGACAGCATCTTCACGCTCTATGTCCTCCTCTGATGCCCTGCCGGCACTGCTTCCGGCCATCCTTAAGCCTGGTTCAGGGTCCACTTAATGTGGACATGCTAGTTCGAATTAGCAAAATGCTAATTAAAACTAGATTTTTAGTCTGGATCCGTTAGTTCGAATTAGCTTAGTTCGAATGAACTAATTCGAACTAAGTTAGTTCGAATTAACGTTGTAGTGTAGACGTACCCATATATAGTATCATCATGAGCTTTCATGGGTAACACCAACTTAGTCAGATGAGTTTGAGTGGTAGTAACTGTGTAGTAACTGAGGTGTGGTAAACTAGCACCTGTAGATAACTGCCTGCAATTGTAAACTCATAATTAAGAATTAGGTTGTCATGGATTCTGTGGCTTTCTGAGATCTCCATGACAGCCCTCAGGTGGTGGGGCTGCAACTATCAGCCGGCAGAGGGGGCCTGCAGCACCCAAACACCAGCTCTGACCTGCCGTGGGAGGCCCCAGATCACTGAATCACTATAGCAGCAGTGGGTGCTGGACTTCCTCCCATCCCCGCATGCTACAGCAGGATTCAGGTTCTCCTTTCTCCTTCTCCAGCCCCTCAGGCTTCACTCCTCTTTCCTCACCCCGGCCTGGTCAAACCCTCCCCATTATTTTTAGTAAAAGTCACAGACAAGTTGCAAGCTTCTGTACATTTGTATTTAGTTCCAGTGACCTGTTTTGGCTTTTATTAAAAATAACCATGACAATATCTTAACCCTACTTATGATGTCAAGTGACATGCATCTGACGAAGTGGGTCTTTGCCCATGAAAGCTTATGCTCCTACACTTCAGTTAATCTATAAGGTGCCACAGGACTCCTCGCTGCTCCTACTTAGGATGACTCTTGTGTGCTGACTTCAGATAACACAAACCAAAAAGGTCACTCACTTTGTCTCCATTTCCCAATTTAAAATAGAATGTGGAGTTATTTCACATAAGAAGCAGAGGGCTAACATGACTCTCTTATAAGTGCTTAGGATTATAGGTTCTTCAAGAAACAAACGTGACCTGTAGCTGCACCCTGGGCTTTGTTTGCAGAAGCTGCATTGAAACATTAGACAATGTCCCAGACAGTGATCGTCCAGCAACCTGCCTCCATGGGTTCTGCCGTCATGTCCCCAACAGGTGACTGGAGCACCGGGAGGTATGAATGTTTTGCGGATTGTGCCACATGTAAGTATAACAGTTGCTGCAGTTGTAATGCATTTTTTGAGGCAAACCAAGTGATTTTTCAATTAACTGGTCTGCCAACTGCCAAGACCATTTGAATTGCAGAATGTATTGGATAAAAATTTCTGTGAAAATATTAAACAGGAAAATGGAAAAGGCTGAGACCTGACTACATGTTAAGGGGAAGAAGTAGGAGTGCAGGGAGGGAGGAAGAATATAGTTCCTTTCCTAAGGAGTCACTACCCTGTTTTTTTGAAACTGCATGGGAATGACGCATCCAGTGCACTGTTTGTGAATATTCTTGTTTTGAAGGCTGCTTGGGGACTTTTTGCCCAACAATTCTGGCATGTTACATGGCAAACAAGTATGGAGAGAATTGCTGCCTTGGGATCACTCCTGGAGGCATGACAGCAATGCGAACACACATGCGCCTCTCTTATGGCATCCAGGTAGCAATGCTTTTTGGAAAATTTCAATAGGGATTGTCTGTCTTTTGAGCAATGTTTAAATTAAGTTGGGGTATTGGAGCAGCAGGACTCTATGTAGTCTGTGAAATGGACATAAATGGATCAAGAAAGCATTAACAGCACTGAATGTGAACTGACACAGGGTAATCTTTGCTGTGGAGATGCCTAACATTGTCTGAGAATAAATATATCTGCTATACTGGGTGAAAGTTTAAGACTATAAAGTTTTGCACCCTAGTCAGCTAGCCAGCAATGTCTGATGTTTCAGAAAACAACAAATAGACTAGTAGCACCTTAAAGACTTACAAAATATGTAGATGGTTTCATGGGCGCAACCCATTCTTCAGATGAATTGAGTGTAAGAAGTCCAGATCAAGAATAAATAAGGGAAGGGGGGGAAGAAGGGGAAAGGAGGAGGAAAAAAAAGTCAGTGAGTAGATGGTTTAAATATTTACAGGAGGCTGATAAGAACAATTAACCAACCAATCCAAAAGTGGAAGTGCTAAGTCATTGGGATGTGGAAGGTAGTGTGCGAGCCAGCTGATGTCCCTGTTCATACCATTTGCATAAGAATTTAACTTGCAAATGAAGTTAAGTTCCAATCCTTCCCTGTGTATTTGGTTTGTGGAACTGGTCTGAAACAACATGGTGACTTGGAGATCCATTAATGAGTGTCCAGGCAGATTAAAGTGCTCTCAGAGGAGGCCACTCCCACCCCGTTACAAAGTTCAGCAATTACACAGTGCAGTACGTGGGAAGGAGAGAGACCCTCCAGTACTGATCCCTGTGGTGATTCCCTTGCACCCTCAGTTTTGAGGTTATCATTTCGCTTTTCTCACCATGGATAATTGGAGAACATCAAATGTTATTGCTTGCAACATAACCAGCTATGGTATTTGAAACAGCCTTCCTGTGAGCAATAATTTCCATAGTCCACCACATACTTTGTGATATATAATTCCTTTCATTTGTTCTAAAATTATCCATCACTTGATTAATTGAATCACCACCCCTTGACTTGTTTTCCAAGTTAAATAGCCAAATTCTCAGCCAGGGGTGGGCAATAAGTGGATGAACCATGTCCAGCCTGTAGGCTACTTATTACCCAGTGAGCATGTAGTTCTAAACCCATAATGTAGAAATGCTTCCTATATTAAAGCCCTATCTGATCACAGTGAACAACTCAACCCTCATTGGAAACTCCTTTGTAACGGCTCAATCAGATGAAAGAATCAGAGGTTAGAGATGGTTAAATCCTTAGTCCATCTTCTTGGTGGAGATTTACATTTCAGTTTCTAGAACAGAACTGATTATGAAACGACACACTTCATCCAGCTTTGGACCAGCAGCTTAATCATTTTAACTCCTTTGCTAGGAACTTTGTTAGAGAACGATGTTACAATCCTTGACTTCAGAACAGAGTTTAATATCTTCTGTTAATTCCTTACCTGCCAACATAAATGAGTTTGTTCTATTATGCAACATCACAAATAACTGATCTCCTGTGGAGAGGGATAAGCAGATCTCTCGCTCCCCTCCCTTCCCCCCAACACTACAGTTTCTCTTTTTCTCCCACAAATCGTTACATTACAAAACCCTTTGTTATCTTGTTGAGGAAGTGGGGAGATGTTCTGTGGCTGGAAGACAGTAGCACACTCTCTCCCTGAATTGGAGGCTGCAGTTAGAACTGTTGGTCTTCAGTTCTGTTATCAGCCCACACAAACTGCTTCCCTTTCGCTTCGTGTCAGACAACAAATACTCATGACACCTCAGAAAATAATACACTACCATCCATGTCCTTAAAATACAAAATCTAGAATCCCTCTCTGACTGTAGAGTAATATATGGTAGTGAGGAATGCAGCTGTTCTTTCATTATTTGTGGCCTCACTGTGGAAGCCAGGGATTGGGAGAGATGGTTGATGCCATCTTCAATTAACACATTTAAATAAAATCTGTTAAGGAATTGAGTGAGAACTGGGGTTTGGAGCCTCTTGCCTCTGAATCCCTGGATGAGAATTGTCAAGGTTGTTAATGATGAAAAGTCATTAATGTCTGATAGCACTTTGTCTTAGATGCAAAATGAGTTACTACTGGCCGTCAGCCTTCTACCAGACTGCTCACGTGGCTCATGGCTGGGAAAAACGTCTCCAGTCCACTTGGGACAAGTCTGTACATGGTACATTAATTAGGTTATGATGGTAGATTTTAAAAATGATGCAAATTTTGAGGAAAGGGTATGCATCATAATGGTAGATTTTTAAAATGATGCAAATTTTGAGGAAAGGGTATGCATCAGACAACGCTTTATCAAGGGGAAATAGCTGCTTATATTAAAACAAAATTCCTAGCTGCAGCACACAACTGCATAAATCTGTGACCATTTCAAATCAACATTACAAAATATTGGATTTAGGGTATGGCTGATAACCCTCTCATTTTCTCTGACTTATACAGGGAACTATCTGCAGAGATGTACTGGCAATGTGCTTTTGTGGCCCCTGTGAGCTATGCAGAATGGCTCGTGAAATGAACATCCGCTGTCCGCATTAAAGAGCACTGCGAAGAGGTCACTCAGTGGATGAAATCCCAGGCACACCATTTCCGCTTCCCTAGTAAAGGACATCAACTGTAGTGTGACTGCCCAAAAGATCTCGCTTCATGGTCGAAGACCCAGAGCCCCCAGTGCAGTTCTGATGAGTGGGGTGCCCTATTTCCATTAAAGGACATAGCTGAGAGAATAAAACTAGCCCGTGTTTATTGTTGACTGGTGGAGGGGCTGGCTGGGCATGTGAAGTTCAGGGGTGGGCAGGCTGGGGGGGGAGGATCTGCAGTAGCTGACATGGATTTTGTGGGCAGTAAAGAGGGATTGGAGCCGTGGGAGGGGGGGGGCTGATGGAAACAAGAGGAGCAGTGTGCGTGGG